TCATCCTACTGCTGCCGTCTTTCCTCAACGCGGACACACTGGAGGCAAACTTGCGCAGTGGGGGGTCGTCGTCGCCGTTGTCGTCGTCGCCGCCGCCCTCGCCGCGGCACTCCTCCCCCATATTGGCGTCTGCCCCTGCAAGTTGGAGAATCAATGCAAGTTGGAGGACAATATAGAGGGAAGGATTGGCGCTTAAGTCTATTGTTATTAATATTAATACTATTATGAAGATCTCAAAGCCGACAAGAAGGGCAATCGCCAGCAGTGGGAAATGCGGTCTGGTCATGTGATTTAAGGTGTCCAGTGTCATATAGCTGTTCTTCTGACGCAAAGTCAACGCCTGACCGCACGAAAACATATAAAGGCAAAGGTTCGACACCTACCGGCCCTAACATTCCCATGCAACCAAACAAACGAAACCCATCAAAAGGGACGGCTGTTACAATCGGTGGACCAAACATGGCGGGAGCACATGCAGGGCCGGGGCCCGCTCCGACGCCGGTGCCCAAAGCGAGGTTTCCCAATGACTAAGAAAACAAACAAACGCGGTGGATCTGGATACTGCTCATATCACAAGGCGAACAAACGAACCACCATGTAATGATTAGCGTAGCGCAGTGTTCTAGGGAACCGAGGATGGCGGCCCATCTATTTGAAGACCTAGTCTCTCACCGCTTGCACCCTGGGCGTCTCCAGCCGACGGCTCCCCCGCAGAGGCGGCGTGGTCGTCATTGCCGTTGGCAGAGAGGCCATCAACACCGCCGGCCACTGCGCGCTCTAGTCGACTGATCTCGGCCGCGTGCTCGGCCGCCTTGAGTCGGGCCTGGAGCAAACGAATTTCCGCAAGCTGCGACAGAGCAGCGTCGCGCACAGCGTGCAAATATTTTTCAATCAAGTGAACCAGGGGGGTACGTCGGCCCGAACATGCGCAATATATATTTGCGAGGCCATGCTACTTTACTCTTCGATACACTTTCGCAGCAGCAATTTCTCTATTTTGAAAAGCTCAAGATCCTCTACACCCGTGCATGAAAATGGGGCAAGCGCCGACGATAAAAGTGGGACATTTGTCGCGTGCTGTAGGTTAGAATAATGCGTGCATGATGATGGTACACATGGAGTGTGGAAGTTTTGCGGAAGATGGTACATCTTTCGCGGAAGCGAGAATGGAGAATGACGTGTGGGGGCGTAGTTAGCATTTTCATCAATGCGCACACCCAAAGTAGACGCAGCTCCACAACGAGCACGAAGGAGAGCTGCACAAATATTGACCCTAGTGTCTGTCGACCAAAAACAACTAGGGAAAACACTGCGGGGAACCCACCTCGTGATTCGGCACGCCCCCGCTCCCTGACCCACTCGCCGTCGAAGCCCGCGCCGTGGCCTCAGCGCCGGTGCTTCCCGCTGCAACGTTCTTCCGTTTCGTCTTCTTCTCCTCTCGTGCCTCGTGGGATTCATTCGCTTGCTGGAAACGACCAACCGACGAAAAAAAATGATACGGAGTATTATATTACTACATGTCGGCGCCTGGAAGGTCGGGCAAAACGGAACCTTGCGAAAAATACTGGGAGAGGACAGAATGGTGGAAAGGACGAGTATGATTGACGCGGAACCACAACGTGCAACACGCAACCCATCCAAGCACGGCCAGACAGGAACCACAACCCATCCAAGCACGGCCAGACAAGAAACACACGGCTGCTACAAAAAAACATGTGAGTGTGAGGGTGGTCGCACCTGAATAGCAGCGGAGGCGGCAGAGTTGGCGGCGTGCTCCTTGATCGTTTTTCGCTCGCTCCTAGCCTTCTGTTGCTTCTCGAGTGCCGCCATAGACGCCCTACACGCTGCCTTCGAGGCGTCCGACATCTGGCGTGCGGTGGCTGCTATCTCGGCTTTTTTCTTCTTGTCCTCCGTGATTCTCGCGGCTTTGACGGCGTGGTCTTGGTCTTTCTTGCTTTTCGGGGGCTTCTTCGCACGGCCCTCTCCCGCCGCCGCAGCCCCCCCCCCTCCCTCCGCCGTCGCCGGAGGCATAGCAGCCGCTGCTTTCCCAGCAGCAGCCGCGGCCACGGCGGCGGCTGCTTCTCCCCCGCCCGCCGCCATCACCGCCATCACAGCGGCAGCGACAGCAACTCCAACTGCCGCAGAGGACGCCCCCGCCGTCACCTCCGATGTGTCTGCTGCTGTAGGCGGTGCCGTCTTCTCGCTCTTGTTGGCACCCGGCGCCGCACCCACCACGGCGGTGATGCCGCCGTCAACTTGCGTCAGGTCCACGTTGCCTGCTGTCGCTGTCGATGCCGCCGCGCCTTTTGTGACGCCGCGCTTCGGCCTCGTGGCCCCCGGCGATGCCGCTCTCTTCTTGCCCATCTTGGTAGCACCCGGCGCGGTCGGCTTCGCGGCCCCCGGAAGCCCCGGTGTGCCGCCGCGCTTCTCGGCAACTGCCGACCTCGTTGGCCTCTTAGGCGCCGGGGCCGCGGTTGAGGGGACCACTTCTTGTTCGTTTTCGTCGTCGCTGTCGTCGCTATAATCTCGAAGGATGGGTGCTTGGAAGAACCTATCGTCCACACCTCCATCTGGCTCGTTGGCCACGTCCAACACCGCCCAGTCTGGAAACGCAGCAGCAGTGGTGCCGGTCAAACTGGTGGTAGACCGGAGAGCCGACGCCGCTCTCCTCTTGCCTGCAGCACGAACCACGTCGTCACGCTGCACAAGAGCAAATGGGCACAGGGGGGTGAGGGCGGGTGTAGCGCGCAGCGTTCTCTCCAGTTTAGGCATTTTGTCGTATGAATGTTGCACAGCAGTGGGTGATTGTATGGGTTACGCCGAAGGTCATAGTAAGCGCGACCACGCCGAGAGGACCCGGAGAGGCGAGCCCTAACGCTCAAAGTCTAGCAAGCATTGGCCTTGAAATGCGAAAAGAAGAGCACTCTGTCGACCTGCCCTACCGCCAACCCTGCCTAGTCGTACGAATGGCCTACAAACATGGGCACGTGGAGGTCACACCCCGGGAAAGTTTTGAACGTGATATCGCCTTTCCCTACTTCCCATACCAGTGGAATTAGCTTACCCCGTGAAGCCGAGAATCGGAACCCAAAATGCACGAGAGGCGGGAAGGAGAGAGAGCTGCACGCGAACCACACCTTGTGGTGCGGCTGGAAACTGCCAGAGCTGGCAGGCACTTTGTCACATTCTCGAAGGAAACACCGGTCAAATATGGTCTACACATGTACTCCGATTATCATGCTTCATGCTTTTCACTCACCAGCTGTGCTCCAGCGCCTTTGTCACGAATACTCTTTGCGAAGTCGGCCACCAATTTCTCGAGCTAGTCGCAGCCTGGAACGTACGAGCCATCCGGGATACGACCCGGGACGAACTCGAAACACTCCGGGTAGTTGCCCCTTTCCTCTTTGGGGGAGCAGATTCACGGCGAAAGGATGTTGTGCAAAGATGTGAACATCGAACACCACAAATAGCAAATAGGGTATGCTTGACGCGGCATTCCTCCTATCGGGGCTACCACCAGCGGACTAAACCACGTGACTGACACCAACCCCAGGCACCGTTCACCAACGTAAGACACCGGTCAGCAGGCGAGATGTTCACCTTTCGTTTAAGATGCCCTTCACGATGGCCATCCGAAAGATAGGGTATTCGCAGTCGGGCCTTTCGTAGCAAGGCGCAAGAACGAACGGGCGGGCGGGGAAATCGGCATGATATTTTCGGATGACTACAGTGTGAGCAGCGTCATTCCGTCATCTGCATAGCCCCCTGTTGTGTGTTCGGTAAGCCATGCGGGGAACTTGTACAGGGAGGTGATGCGATAGCGTCGGGAGCATAGGTATCATATGTCTCCTATCCTTGAATCGTGCTTTGAGGCTGCCCTTCGAACGAACACATGTACGCCAAGCGGCAACCAGAATGCAGCCATGCGCCGCCCAAAATACAACAAATCAACGCAATGTCGGCCGATTCAAACGGGCGATTTGACCCTGCGCCAACTAAAGGCATGCGTTCGTGCCCACCGGCTACCTCATCACTCACATCTGCATTTTGTTGACACTGAAGGGCAAGAGGTTGGGATCGCGATCCTCCTCCGACCGCACTTCTGTCACGAACCCCCGTATCCAGGGTCTCATTCCAACCCTAAGCTGTGTTGCAACCAAACAAAATTCGACGGACGCGGGGACACGACGGGGCGTGAGCAGTCCATGCGCCGAAAATAATCAAGGAGTCGACGAGGAGCAGCAGGAATGGACGCACAAGACAGCAGCTAGCGGTTTCCACGTCCAGGTGCTGACACCTGTACGTCCGGTTTAGCGCAGGCAACCACAAGCGGGTGTCCAAGTGTGGTACGAAGTAGGCTCGTTTCAGGGGATGTTTGAGCCGTGTCCCCGGGTTGCGGCGCAATTGGCATGTTTGTCTTTGAATGTTGAGTAGCCGCGTTGCAGCGCACGAATTCAGAAGAGAGAGTCTACCAGGGCAAGGAGCAAAAGGCCACCTTGAGTGTACGGTTACCAGTGCGTTGACAGAGTTCGAAGCGGTGGTTGATTCCAGCAAGTGAGTGCAGGAGTTCGGTCGAGCAGCAGCAGTGTTGATCGGCGTAGGTTGAGTGCAGCAGCGAGCAGAATTAACGACAAAGTTTCCTCTTCAAAGCATCATCCATCATCCTCGGTATTGAGTCTTTGATCTATCATCCTCGGCGACAACCGTCCGAGACACAGAGCAACCCACTGACAAGAACCTCGAACCTAGCACAAGAACCGTTAGTGTAGAGCCACATCGCTCTGCATTGGATTGGTCGATTGGGTCATCAACAGAACCCGAAGTCCAAGTATCACATTGGCGAGGACCGGGGGCGAGGATGATGCTCCCGTTCTTCGACTTCTGGAGCGGCTGACGTGGCGTCGGGACTTTCGCGCTCTTCCCGGGCGGGGAATTCTTCGGCTTCATCGACCCGTGATATCCCGCCCCCCGCTTCACCGAGGGCGAGCTACCGTCGTATGGGAACCGCCGCCTCGGTGGCCGCCGCCGCCGCCGCCCCGTCGGCGGCGGCGCCCGCGGCCGCTGCCACACCTGCGGCGGCGCCGCGGCAGCGTACGGGCTTCATCACCATGCGCCATGCTTCAGCAGCTCCGGCCCCGGAGGCGGCGGAGAAACGGCGGGGAGGAGCTGTAATTCGCCGCCACGCTCCTCCGCCGCTACGCCGACCGGCTTTGGGGTCCTCGGCCCCTCCGCCGACCAGCCCCCCGCGGGCGGGCGCTCCCCGGGTGACGGCGCCGCAGGCCGACACGCGGCGGGCCGGCGTGGTGGTCCGTCGTCACGATCCTCCGCCGGCCGACGCGCGGCGGGGGGGCGTTGTGGTTCGCCATCACGACTCCGGCGCCAGGCGAGCTTCGGCTTCTTCACAGGATCCGGCGCCTTCTCTCCGTGACTCGGCGGGGCGGCCGTCTCCGACGCCAGCGCCACGGGTAGCGGCGCCGCGTGCACACCAGCCACGCGAGGACCTTCGAGAGCCGACGACGTCGCGGGGTCAATACGTGCGCCGGCACACATCGGTGCCCGCGCTCGACTTTGCCGCCGAAGAGGAGCGGCTTCGCCGCGGTGGAACGGTCGCCTCGGGTCAGCCACAGCAACCCCGCGGGCGGCACTGGTCCGACAATCTCCATGTGCCGCGTGACACCCTTTCCGGTGAGATCGGCAGGAGGACGCTGCTGGACGAACAGCTGGGTATTCGACTTCACGACGCGGAACGGGCGTGTGCCGGGTCGGGATGGACGGACCCCGAGTTGGGGGACGCTTACACGCGGGCCCGCTCGGACTTCAGCGACAACCGCCGCCGCTTGTGGGAGCTGGAAGAAACCTGCGATCGGCGTGAAGGCCGGGCGCGCGCGTGGGGTCCTCCTCGCGATTGGGAAATGCTGCGGGCGGTGGAGGCGGCAGCGGCGGCCGATCGTCGGGAGCCGCCGTCGCCGGGCCGCGATGGTCAGCGTGAGCGTCACCGCCGCTCCAACAAACGCTCGCGGCGGCAGCACAATCGCTCCTGCCGCGATAGTTCTTCCTCTTCTTCGTCGTGGTCGTCGGGCGGCTCGGGGGACGACCGGGATGAGTGGGGGGCGCCGCGGCGCCGGTCGAGGCCGGCGGAGCGAGAGGCTGTCCATCACGTGCGGGCCTCGAGTTCTCGCCGACAGGGCGCCGCGAGTGGTGGGGGGAAGCAGAGCACGGGGTCGGGGAAGGGAGGCGAACGCGGGAGTCGGCGTTCGGGGGAGGACGAGCGGGAGCGTCGACACAGCCGAGCGTCGTCTTCGAGAGGGTCGGAGGCCGGTGGAGCTTCCAGGGCTTCGAGACTAACCCGTGTGCCGTGTTCTTTGTCCCCCAGCTCACGATCCCCTTCCCCACCCCCTCACAACCCGAAGGTAGCCTCTAAGCTCATGGCACTCAATGTGCACCGCATGTTTCAGCAGTATGTGCGGCCACGCCTACCGTTGCCTGCCGGCAACACGTGGACGGCCCTAGTTACGTTGGTAGGTCGGCTGCGCCATGTAGTCCGGCAAGGCCGACAGGCCTGCGGTGATTTCCATGCCACCGCGTGGGCGCCAGAGTGGACGTCACTCGCTCAACAATTTCTAGTGAGCTGTGTAGCGACAGAAAGTGGAGAAGGGCCGGTCAACAAAATCTTGTCCATCGGCCGGGACCTCGACGACACAATCAGAGATAGAAAGTTCAACGGCCCACAAGGGTTTGCCGAGCTGGTCAGCCAACTCACAAAGCGGTTCACGAGCTTCCAGGTCAATTCCATACCGATCATGTTGGCACAATTCTCCGTTCCGATCAACACGCCCCTGCAAGATTGGATAGTCCAACTAAAAGAACTCGTAGAAGGGTTGTCGTGTTTCGGGGACTCGTGCCCGACAGACGCACAAATCGTCTCAACCGCCATTGAAGGTCTGGCCGTGCAGTACCCAGAGATATCCCTCTTCGTGAAGCCCAAACTTAAGAAAGCGGTGACTCTGGCGAACATGTGGAAGTGCTTTCGGGATGACGAGATAGACGAGAGTAACGCCGTAGCCAACGCACCCCCTACTTTAGGAACGGTGTCCGCCAGATCAACACATTCTCACCAACCAAGGGTCCACGCGGTCGTGAGGGGTCGCTCGTATGAAACCTTGCCCCCTGGGCGCGAGTATGAATTAAGCAGCGACGAGGAAGGATACCAACGTACATCTCGGTACCTGTACCCCGTGCTCGGTAAGGGATCAGACAAGAACACATCTACGTCGAACACCTCTTCGTTCCGCTTCTGGAAATACTCCGCTGATTCGGTAGAGGGGGCCAAAGCTAAAAGCCAGCTGCCGCGTGACGCCTGCTACAACTGCGGTCGCACCGATCACTTCCTGCGTGATTGCCCTGAGTGCTTCAAGAATGAGTGTGGTATGTTTTGCGATTCGTTCGGGGAGGGCAGCCCCGAGTTGGTTGAAGAAAGATGGCAAGCCAAGCTCCGTAGCCTGAAAAGGAAACAACGAGCGAGGGGTCCCTCTCTGTACCCGGGAAAATAGGAAGTCGACACCGAGGGATTCCGCCTCTCGGTGACGCAAACGTCGGAGCCTTACGGTGGTGGAGACGGGCGGAATACGTCGCCGCCGCCCCAACCGTCTAATGATTTCCGACCTAGTGTAGAGAGGGGCGGGGAGCCATCTGGTTCCCCACCTACTTTGTCGGACAGTAGTAAAACACCGGCGAAGCTACCAGTTTGTGTAGCTCCGAAACCCGAGCCGACTCCGAGTCCGACAGACCGAGTGCAGAGTACGAGGTTGAGTGTAATTAGCTTAGCCGAACAGGTCTTGTGTCCTGGAGTCGTAGACGATAGAGACGAGGGAACTGTCCGCTTGATCCGTGGAATACCAGCTTGCCCTTCTACGAAGAATTCTGCGGCTCAAAACCGGCCCGAACTCCGATCCGAAACCGAACTCCGATCCGAACGTAGTATAGACAAAACGGGAAGCGGGGTGCCACGAGAAAACCGGCGTTCGAGCCAGCGCCGGCGGTTGTGAGCCCATCTCCCCGGGGTAGTTACTGTTTAGCGGAGCGAGCGGCCGCCGCGTTGACGAGGCTTCCAGTGATTACCGAAATACCCACGAATTGGTCGGGTGACAACGGAGTAGAAGAAGAGAAGAGTTGTTCCCCGCCGTCGGCTTCCCCGTTGGCCGGTCTTGTAGATAGTGAAGCAGGCATCACCGCGGCAGCGGCCGTGTCTACATCTAGTTCACCGGCATCGCTATCCACCCGCCCCGTTCTCTCCGCTCGGACGAGTATACATCTAATCTCAACCGTAGGGGCGGTATAAAATAACAACGATGGCCGAACAAAGAAACACAAGAAGAAAATTAAATCCCGGAGTGGTGTGCTGCCGATTAAGTACAAACACGGTTCGCCCTCCTTGCCCTCTTGGGGTAATAGTCCTCCACGAAGTAGTCGTCCAGTAGCGGGATACGAACTGCCGGAATTTCTCGAGGAGTATCAGGCATTCGTGCCAGGCGAGGCCCGGTTGCAGCAGTCCACTCAGGTAGCGCAAGTGAGTGTGTTTGCTGGTCGGGCCAGAGTAAAACATGCGTGTCGTGCGTTGGTAGACACTGGTTCGGGGCAGTCATTTATCTCAAGCAGTGTGATGGATAGAATGTTGAAAACGGGTGCCGCGTTGGAAGAAGGGATTCGTTCCGTGAAAACACAATGGACGGGGTTTAATGGTCATCCGCTGCGCACGAATCAAATGGCTCGGTTAAACGTGCAGTTCTTCGATCGGTTCGAGAGAGGGAGCGCTCGTTTAGCCGTGCAGGCATATATTGTGCCTGACGGGGTGATGTCTCACGATATTTTACTCGGTACGGATAGTTGGCGGCACTTTCCGCGTCGTGAATATATTGACATCGGCAACGACACATGTTTGTTGCGCCTGGACAACAGCCCCCCCTCATCGGGAGCGTCGTTCAGTGAGTCTACCCCCCTCCGTTCTGCGTCTCCGAAAATGGTAGCTTCGGCTGCCACCGCCGACCGGCATGATTTTTCTGACACGATTGCAATGGTTGAGTGCCCCGACCACGATGGTAGCGAGTTCAGACTTGTGGTGGATTCGTCCGCCCGTTCACCGTTGGTAGAAGGGCACCGCGAGTGGGTTCCTGTTCGTGTTGAAACTTCTGCTGGGGTGACCGTGACATCGGGAAAATTTTATGCCCGGCTCGCGGAAGGGTGGAGTCCGCATGAAGTGTTGGTGGAAGCGGGCGGGTGTCAATCGCCCTTGGCGCTGTCAAACGCCGGTTCCATCACACCCCATGCGGTCATTAGTTGCAGTGTGACGCCGCTGCTTGATGTTCCGGTGTCCGACTTTGTATTTCGCGAGGAGGTAGCAACTGCCTCCCCTCACGAGTCGAAGGTCCATGTGGTAGACGGCTCGCGCTCGGTTAATCCTGACCGACCCGAGCACCCGCCGGCAGAGTTGCTGGAGAATATGACTCCGGAGTGTGAGAGTGCTTTCCGCCGTTTATGGGCAACCGTGCCGCCGCATCTTAGGGAAATTAAATTCGGTCTGAATCATTCCGCGTGGCAGCCTGAGGATATCGATCGCCTCTCTGCGCTCCTCACGAAATATTCTGATCGATTCTCTGAGAACCCGGTTGACCTAGGCTACTGTAGCACCATCCCTTTTCGAATTGAATTGAAGCCTGGCACGCGCCCCATCAAACAGCGCGCGTATCGCCGAAATCCCGCGATTAATGCCAAGCTTCAGGTGGAGATAGATAAAATGGTGTTGGCGGGAATTTTGAGGCGTTCCAACAGCGAGTGGGCGTCCCCGGTGGTGTGTGTGATGAAAAAAAACGGGTCGGTGCGAGTGACGGCCAATTTGAAACGACTGAATAGTGCAACAGTAGTCCCCTGTAGCGTTCTGCCCCACATTGCAGAATGCATCGACCAGCTGGGGGGTAGCTCCGTCTTCTCGGTACTTGACTTGGTGAGCGGCTTCTACCAAGCCGCGATCCACGAGGATTCCATCCCCTTAACGGCCATCGTGACGAGTACGGGGTTGTACGAATTCGTTCGAGTCCCCATGGGTGCGAGTGGGGCGCCCAACCACTTCCAGTTGTTGATGGCCAAGGTGTGTGAGGGGTTGGAGCGTGTGCAGTTGTATCTGGACGATATTGTGGTGCACTCAAAATCCGCGGCAGAGCATGTGGTGCATTTCGAGAAGTTGTTGGAACGGTTGCGCATCCACAATCTGAAACTCGCTCCCAAGAAAGCGAATGTGGGTGCCGCCGAAGTGGAATTTTTGGGGCATTTGATCACACCATCTGGCCTCGCGCCGGGGTGTGGTAAGGTTGCGGCGTTGGAAAATATGCCTATGCCTACGAATAAGAGCCAGCTGCGTTCCCTGTTGGGCAGTTTTTCGTATCTCCGCAAGTTTATCCCTAAGTTGGCCACTCGAGTGCGGGGTCTCAACGAGATGCTGAAAAAAGACAAGGAATTTCGGTTTACGACTCGACACGAAGAAACCACTAGAGCGATTATCAAAACGTTGATGAGCACGACAACTTTGGCGTTCCCTGACTATGAGGCCGCCATCGATGGCTCTCGCCCGTTTCAGCTATCGTCCGATGCGTCTGTTCATGGTTTTGGGGCCGTTCTAGAAAAGCAACAGAGTGATGGCACAATGCATCCTCTCGTATACGTCAGTCGATCCACTCTTCCCAACGAACGCAACTGGGACACGACTGACTTAGAAATGGGGGCGTTGGTTTGGGCTGTCAAAAAGCTCCGAGTGTATTTGTACGGTATTCCCTTCGTGGTGCATACGGACCACCAACCGACTAGCTATCTGTCTTTGAGTGAGAAGAAGCCCCGAGTGCATCGAATGTGTGACTTCCTCAGCAGCTATCAGTTTTCCTTGCGCTACAAAACGGGGAACGACAATCAGGTAGCTGACATGCTTTCTCGGTTGCCGCAACCTGCGACCGAAAAGGATAAAACGGGGCCGAACCGCCTCATATAAGAGGGTGATCTAGAAGTGTACTTTGTGGGTGCTGCAAATTGCCTGTCCCCTCCCTTGGACTTGCAATGGCAGACTTCCTCCCACGAGGATTTTGAGTCGTTCATGGAGCCCGTAGATCCGCTGACCACCGATGAGGTCGCGCAGAACCAGTGGAATCTGGCTGTCCGATCTCGTCAACGCGGCGTCAGTACCGTCAGGTATCAGGCGCCGCGGGTCCTCGCTATTAACCCGTCTCCCGCCCCTAGTTCCGCTCCCGTTTCCCATCGTACTTTCAGTGGTCAGTTTCAATCAGGTGTTCTGCTGCACGCGTGCTCGGTATTTCCGGCTACGCCGGTGTTGCCGGTCTCCACCCGCTCCGCTGGGGTCGTGCCTCGGTCACCTCGTGTCCGAGCGGGCCGTCGTCCTTCCAGGAAGATTCGAGAACGGGAGGAGGCACCTGAGCCCGCCGCTGCCACCGCTGTGCCTGCTAGCGGCGGAGCTACGGCCGCACGTCCGGCGCGTCATGCGGCCGCCCGGGGTCCGACACCGCCGTCCCGGGCGGGCTCCGCGGAGGACACACCGGCTCCTCGCGGGGCCGGTCGCCGTCGCCGGCGCCAGAGCACGCCTCCCCCAGCCGACGCCGCGGTGGAACAACCTTTTTCCTCGCGGGGCCGGTCGTCGCGCCTA